GGGCGCCTTGAGCAGCACCTCGAAGGCGCTCGAGCGGCAGCTTCAGGAGAAGCACGCGTTCAACAACAGCCTCAAGTACGAGAGCGAGTGCCTCAGCCAGCGCATCGAAGCCCTCGAGGATGACCAGCGCGTCGCGAAAACAAAATACGACGAAATGAACAAGCTCTTTGGCGAAAAGGCCCACGCGCAGCACGACGAAAGCAAGGGCAAAGTCGAGGTTTTTGAGCTCGTTTTGAGTTTGCGATTCATTTTGGTCCGTAGGCGCTGACCTCAACGATGGAGCAGCTAGAGATTGACATGCAAGAGAACGAGCGGCTCACGCAACTGCATGCGTCCTTGGTTGAGCAACAGGAAGAGCTCCAAAAAACCCTCGATGAAATGCTACAGGTTGTTTCTCAACAATAGTTGGAGGGACTACACTCTATTGAGCTAGAAACAAAAGACCGATCTGCACCAATTGAAACTCAACGAGTACCAGCGCAAGTCGACCATGGAGGAGGTATCTTTCCCCTATTCACTCCCAAAACACTCACGGATGGCCCCAGAACTTTCGCAACTTGCTCGCGGCGCTCGAGACGCAAAATCTCAAAACCGGATTCGGTCTGCTCCTGGAGGCGCGCCAGGTAACGCTGTATATTTCCCTCCTTTTGACACACGTACTGCTCAGACACTATTGACACCGCTCGCCACCGATGTCGCGCCGGCGGCATCGCGCGATGGCCCAGCTTGACCTAGAGTTCACTTAATTCGAGTGCAGAAGCATGAAAAATCAGATTCGATCAAGATGTAGTGGACTTCGACAGCTTTCTCCATGGCGAGGAGGTGCTACGAAAGCCGACGAAGGGCTGCGAGGTGGAGACGCGCCTGCAGAATCGGCGCCCACGACGGCAACGGGTTGCGATATTCGTCCTTCGCGTCGTCAATGTCGCCCGGCATCATGCGCTTCGCGACGAACTTGGCGCCGACGTCCACAAATCCTGCGCCTAGAGTTCTGCAATTGTCTGCATTGCTTCTGGACACGGCGCAGACGCTGGTAACGACACGCTCCAGAGCGACGTCCGAAGCCACTCGCGCAGTCCCTTGCACCTCTCGCACAGGCACGTCGCGTCGACAAGGCCGTGGATCGGCTCGTCATTTGCTGCTTTGGCCACGGTGGCTACCACCTCTGGGCGGTCGATGTCGACGAGCTGGTCCCGCACGGTCTCGGATAGCTTTGGCCATCGCCAGTCGACCAGAGGCGGCACCAGCACGGCGGCTGGCGACACAGAAACGAGGTTGCCTTCGCGGGCCGCCGTCTCGACCGCCGCGCGACGATATCGCACGAGTCGCGGCGTCCGATGCGGCGCGCGCATTGCGAAAAGCCGAGCGCATCGGTGATAAGTGCCCCGCACACCGCGAGGCGGGTCGATGTCTCGTGCGGCCTGGTGCTGTGAAAGGAGTGCGGGAGGAGGGACTCGATGTCGGCGTGCGTGGACACGTAGACACAGTCGACCACGCGGCGTAGAATAGTCGCAAAGACGTTCTGCATGCGCGGTGCCACGCTGCGGGTTCCGGAAGAGACGCAGAGGAGCGTGGTTGACGCCTGAAAAGGTCCAATGTATCTGCGCAGATGCTCCAAGTGCCCGAGCGGCGACACTCCGCCGTCTCTCAATGCGATCATCGACTGCTTTCGACCAGCTGGGCTGAGAGCCTTGTAGATGAACCCTCGAGGATCATATCTGGGGTCTCGGCGCCGTCCGGAGCTAGCACCGAGAAAACGGACGGGTAGGCAAAGCAGCCGGTCTCGACGAGCACAGAGTCGTAGCATCCGGACTCATCGAGAGCGTGGACAAAGTCCTTGTCGGCCTTGGAGAGCACCGCGTGGCCACAACCCATCTTTGTCTTGGTACGTGAGCGAGATGTTGCCTCCGACGCAGTGCGACGGCAAGAGCACCACAAGCCGAGCGAACGTGCGGTCGTCGACATCGGTTGGTTGCAAAAAACTCGTGTCGGTGCTGCCAGCGGCTTGGATGACGAGGTGCGTGAGCTTAAAGCCAGTCTTCTCCCACGTGGTCGCATGGGGCTGCTCGCATATTTGGACCAGAAAAGACGGCGCCCAGACACGATCCGCGCAGCCCGGTTTGATGCAAGCGCGTCACCGGGTACGACGGTCGTGGCCACGTGAGGAACTCGTCGAGGCCGTCGACCGACAGCTCCGGGTCGGCGAAGGTCGCGTCGTGGTGCGCGAAACCATGTGCGATGGATGCTATTAGGTCGTAGAGCACCGGGCCGTAGGGCTCCTCCAAGAAGGCTCGTGTTGCGTATCATCGCAAAGACCTTGGAATGCATCCGTCGTTACATATGGCATGTGCCATTTTTTAAATCCTTTACGATGCCGCAAAACGTACAATTCGGCATATCTGTGCACTAGAGTTTCTAGTGCTGTAGGCCGCGTACGATGGTGCAACTTGGTGCTCCATGGTACCCAAAGCATGCTTTACCACTGTACCACGTATGAGCCATTTTGATTTTTCGACCAAGTTTGGCCATCAAACCTCTCGCGATCGGGCAACACCGCGGCAAGTTGCGTGTCCTTAGCTTCAATATCCGGATATCCGGCGTGGGTCACGA